TTTTGGTCCCAAATTTTTATCAGTTTTACTGGTAGTCCACTGTATGAAGAATTTTTGGGTATAATATGTCAGTTTACTTTATTTTGCTATCCTCACTTACATAAATAAACTATAGTGTCCTGCACCCACTAGTAAAAAAATATCAAAAATTATATCTGGTGTCTGAAAAATGTTTGGTTTGACTGTATATATAAAATTACAAATCAATATTATCTTTGTTTGTAGTATGTGCTTTATTTTATATCTATATGTGTATGTGTGTACTACTATATATATATATATATATATATATATATACTACACACTCTTACATGTTGTTGGAGGTGTTTTTGGCCATTTTTTATCTTGCCTAGGGCACAAAGTGAGCAAGGGCTGCCACTGCACGTGCTGTTGAGAATTAGACAAATACAAAATAAAGTACTTTTTTTCATCTGTCACACTGGATTCCTGGACACAGCACTTTTTGTTGTCAGCGTTCTTTCAGTAGTCTTGCTGTGTTTTGCTCAGTTGTCTTGCTCAACAGTCTTGCTATGCCTGTGCCACTGAAGTTTCTCAAATCAAACTCTATCAAAGGCAGTCTAATACCTGCTTCCATTGGTGATCCACGGTGCTACATTCTTTCAGTTCTGCTTTTTTCAGTTCAACTCCTTTTTTCCAATGTTCAGGAAACCACTTTGTATTTATCTCTGCCAAGACTTTGATGAAAGTCAATGTTGAATATTTAATGTGACGAAAAAAATCACAATTCCTTTCACCCTAAGGGAGCTCGTAGACACACAAACTTTGAATCTTAGATACTTTTGATGCTGTACATTGCAATATTGTAGCTTCTAGCAGGGTTATTTACACAGCCGTGACAGCCTCGTGTCATATTGTTAGTGCATGTTTGTGTGCGTGTAAACCATCAATTTGTGCAATTCATTAAATTTTAAATACATTTTCAGACTGCCAGTGCAAAGAATATGAAGATTATCTATCTATCTATCTATCTGTCTGTCTATATATATATACATACATATATGTATCTCTCCCGGGTCCTCACTGCCACACCTCGTTCTCGCTCCGAGTGGGTCTCGAACCCAGGTCTCCGGCATGGGAGGCGGGCACACTAACAAGGAGGCTAAAGACTGCAGCCTCTAGCACTCTTGAGATCAGGGGAGTGAGGTTTACCTGCACAGCACCTACTCGCTGGCCTCCGTTACACTCACCCCCCTAAACCTCACTCCCATCCGGGTCACGGCACCAATGTAACCCCTCTCTCCCGGGTCCTCACTGCCACACCTCGTTCTCGCTCCGAGTGGGTCTCGAACCCAGGTCTCCGGCATGGGAGGCGGGCGCACTAACAAGGAGGCTAAAGACTGCAGCCTCTAGCACTCTTGAGATCAGGGGAGTGAGGTTTACCTGCACAGCACCTACTCGCTGGCCTCCATTACACATACATACATACACACACATACACACATACATACATACATATATATATATACAGACAGTCTGGATCAGTGCTGTTTATTTACTGTATATGTTTAAAGTGTGTGTACTTTTCTTTTTAATATAATGTAATAATATAATATGTCTTATTAAATGAATTTGAGTTCACTGAGTTTGTTGGTTACAATGGCCCTCATCTCCCATATTTCCTTATTCATAATCTCTCACAGTATTTCATTCACGCACATTTTTTAATAACTTGATCCATTTCTCATTATTTACTAATGAATCGTTTAGCCCTGGAGCTTTGTGATCTTCTCTGTCCCATTCTAAATGCATCTGTGTTGTTGTTGCGCAATACTCTGATTCATGTTTTATCTCTCTCTCTTTCTTTCTCGCCTTCTGTTTCTCCATCTATCTGTCTTCCAGGTTATTTGAAACACTTCAGTCTCTGTTCTGGTCGATATTTGGCCTCCTGAATCTGTATGTAACAAATGTGAAAGCTCGGCACGAGTTCACTGAGTTTGTTGGAGCCACCATGTTTGGCACCTACAATGTCATCTCACTGGTGGTTCTCCTTAACATGCTCATCGCTATGATGAACAACTCCTACCAGCTCATTGCTGTGAGTACTGACAACGATAATTAAAAAAGTCTACAGAAATATTCTGTATTACACACAAATATGCAGATGACTGGCCAACAAATTGCAAGCAGGTTCCCATAGTAACTTAATGGTGTATTTTTTATGCTCCACATTATATCACTTCCTGATGAATAGAAATTCTAGTCTTTTTTTCACACACATTTTTTTCAGTCAAATTTTGATTGAAAATGTTGGGGTTGGTAAGATGTTTTAATGTTCTAGAAAGACATCTCATGGTTATCAAGGCTTCATTAATTTGATAAAAAAATACAGTAACAACAGTAATATTGTGAAATATTACTAGTTTCCTGTGATGGCAAAGCAGAATTTCTTCAGTGTCACATGATCCTTCAGAAATATTTCTGATATTCAGATTTGGTGCAACATTTCTTCTTTTTTTTTATCAATGTTGAAAACAGTTTTGTCTGTTTAATATTTTTGTGGAAACTGATACATTTTTTTCAGGTTTCTTTGATGAATAGAAAGGTCAAAATAACAACATTTGAAATTGAAATCTTTTGTAACGTCATACATGTCTTTACTGTAACTTTCGATCAGTTTATTGCATCCTTGCTGAATAAAAGTGTTAGTTTATAAAAAAATAAAAAAATTATATATATATATGACTGACCCCAAACTTTTGTTCATCGTAACAAATTCTCATTCATATGTTTTTAAAATACACTGTGTAATATAAATATACATTTTTTATACATTTTGGATACATAGGTTGACTATCTCACACTTCATTGATTTTTCTCACTTTATCATTCATTTCATGTTATTAATAATTTATTTGTCACTGTGCCTTAGGACCATGCTGACATTGAGTGGAAGTTTGCTCGAACCAAGCTGTGGATGAGTTATTTCGATGAGGGCGGGACACTCCCCCCACCATTCAACGCCATCCCCAGTCCTAAGTCATTCTGGTACCTGTGTCAATGGGTACACGGGCGGCTCTGTGGGTCGGAGGCTGCTCCGCCTAAAGAAGACCCCCATAAACATGAGAATCTGAAGGAGTTTACGGTAAAGAAAACAACCTGAATCCATTCGAACATTCGCACTGTGATTTCATCTGAATCTGATCAAGTGGTTCTGGTTTAAATTACACTTTAAGCACAATGCAGCTGGCTCATTGTGTAACGGATTACCCATTACAATGACTAACAGCACAGCCACACACATATATCAGCACACTGAATGCTAAAACAGCCCATTTACATTTTTATTGCTTTTGAACTATTGGTTTTTGACTCATAGTGGGATGCAGTAATTTTGTTTAGACTGGTATCATCATGCATTATTTTCAGATATCACTGGGTGAGAAAAATACATATTAAAACCTTTGACTTTAACAAAAGCTGCTTAAAAATCCAGCATAACTTTCAAATCAACAGATGTCTGTGAGAAAGTGTTTACACAATTTTGTACATTAAATTTATAATCTATAATTTACAATTTAGTCATTTCTGAGATCAAATATTCTAGTACCAACCTTGATCTCCAGAAACAGTGACATCAATGTGGTACTGTATGTCTACAACACCATATAACTCAAACATATTATAAACATATTCTGATATGCTAATTTGCTGCTTAAGAAACATTTTGTTTATTGACAGTGTTGAAAACAGTTGTGCTGTTTAATATTTTTTGTTGAAACCATGATATATTTATTTCAGAATTATTTAATGAATAGAAAGTTCAAAAGAACAGCATTTATTTGAAATATAAATCTTTTGTAAGATCATTGATGTTGTTACTGTCACTTTATAACAATTTTATGCATTCTTACTGAATAAAAGTATTATTTTCTTTTAAAAATTCATGCTGCAAGACCATTTGAAAAAACGACTGAAGACAAGTAGTGGTGATCAAGTTTCAGTTAAGAGATACACTACTGTTCAGTAAGATATTTTTTCAAAGTACAATTATTCTTTGTCTCTAAAATGAAGTCAAGAAAGTGCCATGTATAATTATTATAAAATGACTGGTGACATACTGTTTAAAATAGTTTTAGATGTAGTTTAGTATGTTTAGCAGGTCAACTACCCATTTATCAGTCCTATGGCAAAGGCTTGGCGCATGACCTATTAATTAGGTTAGATAACCAGAAAAGTTACCGTCAGCTTAACCTCATTAATAATATTCATGAGACAAGTCTTTTGTCAAAACCGGCCTGTTAGCCTCCCTCCCCCCAAACGTCAACTACTGGCTTCATTCAGAGTGGCCTGAGTGGTAGCAAATTTCATTTCAATTGAAACAGTGAAGTGAAGTTTCATATAAATTAATGACATTTCTATGAAGAAATTTTTTTTTCTGTATTGCCTGCTTCAATACAGATGCTCATGCACTCTCTCTCTTTCTCTTTCTCACACTGTCATTCATGCACACACCCACACACACACACAAACACACACACACACACACACACACACGCATACACACAACTGAAGCACACTCACTCAAAACTCTCTCCCACATGTTTGCTGGCATCGCTGAGCTGGGATCAAACCTGGATCATTATATAAAGCTGCCTACATGTAGAGCTAAGAGGAGAGCAGCTTTCCTGCAATATCTGATAAGAATACTAAGAATCTCTCAGCTCACACTGCAAAATCAGAATCCCTTTATTTGCATGTGTAAGTGCAAATCAGATTTTGTCCTTGTTTTCACAGTGTACAAATATCAGTATTCCCGTTGGAAAGCACCTGCAGGAATGCAGGACATCTCAATACAATGCAAAAGCATTTTAGGGCTGGACAGGGAGTATATAGCCAACTGCACATGAACATTTGCATTGAAATTGCATTTGAAAATTTTGATTGATTCTCCCATTATGGATGTGATAGGAAAGTGTGGATATAAAACCAAATTGTTTCTTCATTTCCATGAAATTAGTTACTGTCAGACTTTTTTGGAGCAATCTGCATCAGTCTAAATGTCCTACCAGAGGATCAGCAGCATCAGCAGTACAACATGTCTTAGTCATGTGATCAAACTATCTCTTTTTTTTTCAACACCATCAGCTCAGTTTATATGCTACCATTCAAATGTTTTGGGTCATTTTTTAAGTACTTTAATTCAGCAAAGATGCATTACATTGATCAAAAGTGTCTATACAGATATTTATAATATTACAAAACATTTCTGTTTCAAATAAAGGCTGTTCTCTTGAACATTCTATTCATCAAAGAATCCTGAAAAAATGTATCATGGTTTTCACAACAAATATTAAACAGCACAACTGTTTTCAACACTGTCAATAAACAAAATGTTTCTTAAATATTCTTCTCAAATATGGTTTATTATTCTGTCATTTGAATGTCGATGGTGAATAATGGGAACATTAATATTGGGTGACAAACACAATTAATGCTTTATTCTACACTATTTATAACTATATAATAAATTTATAATTTCATTCATTCATTATATTATTATTCATGAATTGATGATGGGGATGGAGTTTCTTGTGAATGACCCTGGGATTTAAAATGAATAATTATCCAACAAACAAATAAATAAAAGTGTCATGTATTTGATTAGTTAATGAGTTCAATTACCCTGCATAATTACAGTGTGAATATTTGTTTCTCCTTTCAGGAAAAGCATGCTGACAGGCTGATACAGAATCAGCATTATCAGGTATGCCAGCAGATAAAGCTCTGCAATTACACACATGCGAGAATACAAACAATGTGCATGTAATTGCATTACATCGCTTCGCCTCTGGCTTTGTTTTCCATGTCTCTCTTTTTCCTTGCACTGTCACACCAAAGATCCAGCTGTACATTTCCAGATTAACAAGATTAGGGAGTTCTGTCTGATTGGTTATCAGGTATGCCAGCAGATAAAGCTCTGCAATTACACACATGCGAGAATATAAACAATGTGCATGTAATTGCAATACATCGCTTCGCCTCTGGCTTTGTTTTCCCTGTCTCTCTTTTTCCTTGCACTGTCACACCAAAGATCCAGCTGTACATTTCCAGATTAACAAAATTAGGGAGTTCTGTCTGATTGCTTGCTTTCTCTTCTTCTCCTTCAACCCTCAGGAGGTCATCCGTAGTCTAGTGAAGAGATATGTGGCGTCCATGATCCGCAGCGCCAAGACAAGCGAAGGGCTGACAGAGGAGAATTTTAAGGTGCTTCTGAAACCGACTGTTCTCTATTTATCTTGCATAAACATCAGGAAATGCATGCTTACCAACAGAAAAAATGACACAAGTAATCATTCTTCAAATGCCCCAGTGTTTCCAGAAAATCTGGAGATTTTATAATCTTTATTTGCAATCATTAGCACACTCATTGATAAATTTTTAGCTTATATATATATATATATATATATAGAGAGAGAG